GGGGGGTTTCGGCTGACACGCAATCTGGACATAATTTCCCCGGGGAAATTGGACGTTTATGTTCGTCGGTCTCCGCGCAGACGACTGCATCACGTGGCATTTTTTGACGCTTGCCCTCCCTTAGAATATCAGGGCGTAGCATCTTAAACCGTTTTAAGCTCATCCTCCTCCAAAACGACCATCTTGCGCCAATGAGCCTAGGTCAAAGGTCATCGTGCGAAGCAGACTATATTTGCGTCATGTATGCGTGTGTTAAAAATCAGAGGATGTACAGTTTAGTGACGTATGGGGCAGGACTTGAGGGATAGGGGTATGTGTTAGACCAGTGGTTCTAAACCTTCCTAATGACGTGACCCTTTGATACAGTTCCTCATGTTGTGGTGGCCACCCAACCATAAAAATTATTGTCGTCGCTACTTCATAAATATGTGTTTTCCGATGGACTTTGGCGACCCCTGTGTAAGGTCTGGTCGACACCCAAAGGGATCACAACCCACATGTTGAGGACTTCTGTGTTAGACTTTTGACAGAGTAAGAAAAAAAAATTAAAAAGAGTCCCCAAGAAATATGTCTAACTTTTTTTTTGTTTTTTATTTTTTTTAAATCCTAGTCATAAGAAATAATTTTTTTTTAAAAATAGCATGACTCTGATTTTAAAATGTGTCGTAAAGGACTCTGAATTTAGAATGTATTGTAAAGGACTCTGAATTTAGAATGTGTCGTAAAGGACTCTGAATTTAGAATGTATTGTAAAGGACTCTGAATTTAGAATGTGTCGTAAAGGACTTTGAATTTAGAATGTGTCGTAAAGGACTCTGAATTTAGAATGTGTCGTCATGTAGGTGACCCAGTTACCCGTGGCTTGAGTTTTGCAGGAACATATGAGAAAATCGCTCCTTTACTCTTTTCATATAATAAACATTGCACTGTATTTGAAAAGAAATAAATACATATTGGGGGAGGGGGGGGGGTAAAGGTGGCCTTGGTTGAGTTCACACACCATAATGAGTGTATTCCAGTTTCATTCTAAAACCGCATTTGACCTACAAATCCAAATTTGTATAAAAATAAAATACCCATTTTCTTGTGTACCTTTCAGGTTCCGGTCATGTCCACAGTTGGCCTCCATCATGAACACGTCCCAGGACTCTCCCGGCAGCGATATGGCGCCGATCACCGACCAGGACGGCAACATCATGCACACGGCACCGACCGTCCGCAACAGCCTCTACGTGGATCTCCCGAGGATCGAATCCGGGAGCCTCCGGTCAGCCGCGGGCACGCCCACGCCGCCGTCCACCCCGGGGAGCAAGCGGCGCGACCCGATGACCACGTCCTACAACTCACGCTCCAACGGGGCCTCGCCTTCGTCGACGCCCAAACTCTCCCGCCGGTTCGACACGAGGACTTACTCCGGGGACAGCCAGGGGATCGTCATAGACTGCAGCGGGGGTGGAGGGGGCGCCTCGTCGGCGGGCCTCCCTTTGAAGGAGGAGAACCTCCAGCGGCTCGAGGAGCTGTGCGGCCGGGATTCCGCCGGACACAGGCACCTTCCCGGAGACGAGTGCCACAACGAGCACTGCACGGAGGACGACCGCGTCAGCGACACCGAAGACGGGGGCTCCTCCATGCACGTGAGCGGGCGCCTGGCCCACCGCCACCACCACCAGCACCACCAGAACCACTACCACCCGGGTTCGGCGGGCGACGACAGCGTGGACAAGTGTAACCGCTGGCTGCAGAGCCTCAAGCTGAACAAATCGGACAAGATCAAATCTCGGAGTCATATCCAGCTGCCGCCTATATGAATAATTTAGCAGGTCGTTGAACCCCCCCCCCCCTGGAAGCCGTCGGGATACCAGCCCCACACAAGGGATTCCTCCGAAATTTCCTTAAATTAAGGGTTGCTCTGGAGATACAGTGACACCGACCCAGGACAAAAAAAAAAAAATCAATTTATGTATTTG